CATACACATTTAAAGTTTTTTAAAAAAAAAAAGCATACACATTTTACCCTTGAAGGGTAACTTCTCATACTCCAATGTACATTATCGATCACTTCTTGAACAAAAAAAAAAAACATTATCGATCACTTTTCTCCGCCGCAACACTCATAATCCATCAACTAGTAGATGCACTCGCGGTGGAACGACGTTTGACCTCATCTCCGTCTCCCAGATCGTCGAGAAACACCGCACACTGTCAATGGTCAATTCCAAAGATCTCTCCGCTGCATCACGAGAAGTTTTCACGAAGAGAATGATATGTGAGGAACTCGAAGGAGAAGTTGAAGAAGACGGTAACTCATCTGTCGTGAGATTTGGGTGAAAATTTGATTTATAAGGTGAGGTGTACTTAGAATTTATGTGTTAGTTCTCGCGTACACGCGGATAAATTATTTATATAGTTTTGTTTTTAATTTTAATCTTTAAAATTGTGATATATGTAGTTGTTTTGATTTTTATTATAGACATTGTTGTTGATTCTTTTGTTGTTAATTTTTTTGTCAATAATATCGTTTTTATTATAATAATTTGAATTTCAAAAATTTAGTTTTACAATTTAATTTTTTTATATATGTAAACGTTTCAAAAAAAAATGTATAATAATTTAATACATTAGAGTTGAGAAAAAGATGTTAAATTTGGTTTGTCCGAATATCTTAAGTAGAATTTACAATACAAATAAATTAGTTAATATTTTAAAACATTAAAATATATAATCATAAATTTTATAAAGGAAAATTAGCATGAATGACTATAAAAAAACATATCTAATAATCTACCAAAAAGCACCCACGTGGCCAAATCTTAATCACTAAATTTAGGGGTTTTAGTTAGATTATTAGATAACATTTTTTTTTGGTTATTCAACCAACTGACCATTTTATAAATGAAACAAAGATTAAAAAAAAAATTTTGCTTTCGAATTAAAAAATATTTTTAGTACTTTCAAATGATCTTGCGTTGAAAAAAACATTTTAAAAGAATTATTATATTTGTTGTATGAACTTGGGAAGTTTTTTTCACAAAAATATCAAAATCTCTTTTAAAAATTTGAAAAGTCGTTTTTATTATTTTCAAAAAGAATATATAGTGATTATTTATGTATATGCACTTAGAATATTTCGCTCTATTTTTTATATTCGTAAATACCTTTTTTCAGCATTCTTTATTTTAAAATTTGAAGGAGTATTTGTATATTTTTGTTATTCGCTCTATTTTTTATTGATCCATTTTTTTTGGAGTTAAATATATTTATCCGATTTTCTTGTTTTATTGTATAATTGAGTTAACCTTAAAAATTGATAAAAATGAAATAAGATCGATTATTCATATTGTAAAGCCAAAAAACATTATTTTGTAAAAGTAACAATGACTAAATAAACGAACGAAATTTAGGGATACATAATTTAAAATCAAGTCTTATTAGGAAGGCCACTAATAATCTTCTTTTCGGTGAAATCAATGGAGCCGTTATTCTCATCATCCTTTTTCACTAATACATTAACATAATCCTGTCCCTTATAAT